TTTTTGAAAAAGAACATGCTGCAGGTAAATTATGATACATGAAACTCTTAAAATAATTTATCTGTGATGTTGATATAGGTTCCATTTGGACATATTTCACAGTTAAAACAGCATTTGTGGATTCCAGTTTGCTTTTGTACATATCCAATAGGACATTCTGCTGAACATAATGAAGTAGGTACCTGTTCAAGGATATTATTTTGTAAAATATACAGACAACAGAAAAAAGGACTGCAGCCACAGTTTTTAAAATTTAGGACCGCTCACTAGATACTAACAACCACCATCTGTTTATTTACGCGATAGTATGTTTTGCCCCTGGAATAACTACACTAGTGTGTCTTTATGTACAAATGTATCATTTGAAAGGAAAAAAAGATACAAAAAGGGATGATTTGATTACTTTATACTGTCTAAAGTGTTGATATACTGTATGAGAAGATTCAAAAACACAACTTACATCTCCATCTGTGTACCATTTAATGATGGTGTTGTTGATGAAGAATTGAAGAGATGGATAAAAGCTGTAAAAGCCAATCTCCTGTGCATCTCCAGTCTGATTCCAGAAAACTACTGAGTATGATCCAGACTTGAAATCTCCATTCTCATCAAATTGAATATTCTGGTTTAAAAGTGTAAAGTTTGACTTCTGCAACTCTTCTAAAACCTGTTGTAGGCATAAAGAGGTAACTGTAACAGGATATTCACACTTACTTAGGTTGTTAAAATATCCCAGAGAAAGGAGAAACTGCAGTATGGTGAAACCTTTTACAGAAAGTGTACATTTTAAGGATTTTGAGGACATAAGAAGTAGGAGGTAATGGCTGGATGGATGCATTTTAAGATAGACGTAAAGTTTGATACTATGCCTATGCCCTCCCCTTGATCAGGTACTCTGCTGGAATAATAATCTGGCCAAAGGAGTCCAGACTTTAACATGATTGGTGCAGTATGGGATGATCTTGACAGAGAATAGAACAAAATGCAGCTACAATGTCCTTCAAGAAGCCTGGAGAACTATTTCTGATGGTACTTCTTATATTGACTTTTAAGCTCAATAAACTTAGAGAGGGTGGCATCTTATTCTATTTTACCCACCTTATATACCTTGCTCTATGCAGTGTGTGATCACAAAAAAGATAGGAAGGATCAGTATTTTAAAATGTTTAGACATACATAGAGGTTACAGTTGTCAGTAAGATGAAACACATAATCTCTTGAGTACTGTTTGCACACTTACCATATATGGGAACATGGTAATATTATCACTGCATTTACCATCTCCACATTGCAAGGCATTGTGTAAACCATGAGCAATGGCATACACAGCTGAATAAACAGTAAATGAATAAGACGCATCTGCTGAGATGATATCCTCTGGAGTCACGTAGCTGCAGTTGCAAGCCTGATTACAAACCCATTTTGTGCTTCATTTTTAAAAAACGTCTGTCTTTTGGTAGACTAGATAAAATTATTGAAGCCGGGTACTGTGTCTACTGGCTGAGACACACCTAGTACAGTTCCAATGTTTCTGATTCCTTTCATCTTGGAAAGCCTTTTGTTAATGAACCAGGTGTCACATGCTATCCACACTTTATTTCTGAAATTCACTTGTACTGCTGTCTCAACAAGAGCTTCTGAAGTCGCTTCTGGAGCAAAAACAATGACAACATGTATTTTTTGTGCTTCTATCTGTTCGAATATTTGGGAGTAGTTTGTATTGTCATTGAGAGCTTTCATATAAGCTAGGCAGATGTCAGTACCGTCAATCTTCTTTATAAAAAGATCTAGGCCATCACGACCATAATCATCGTCACTGTTAAGGAAAGCAACCCAGCGCCAATTGAAGTGCACTATGATCTTAACAATGACTTCAATCATCCCGTCATTGGAGTGCACTGTCCGTAGGAAGGAAGGAAATTTAATTTTATTTGATAGGCGAGAGCTGCCAACTCCATAACTGACCTGTCAAAAGAGTAATGGAGACATTTTTACTATTTCTTGTCATATATTCACGACTTTAGGTTAACTTCATTTTAGTTTATAATTCTAACTTACCATAGGAATGAGATCTGTCATGAAGAGTGGGGCTATAGTCAGGGCATCTGTGCTTGTAAAAGGGCCAACCACTGCCATCACTCTGGAAAAATTCTTGAGTGGTTCAAACCAAGGTTGAATCAGGCCATTTACTGAGATAAGATTTAAAATTCCTGGGAAGTTCTTTGTATCTGAGCAGTGGTCAAATATTTCATACCCAAGGGACACATTTGGCAGCATGTAGGTAGTTATTAATTTGTTCCACAGCAAATCTCATCATCTGAAACCTCCGATAGTCTGAGAGACTGAATGGTTGACTGTTGACAGAGAAAGAGAGTAAAAGTTTTTAAACGAAACATAAAAATTGTTCACAACTGACTTAATGTAGTTATCTTAATGTAGTTACATGTAAATGTGCTACTAAGTTACACTCAGTGACTTAGTTTAGGTGAAGTTATATAATGTAAGGTGTGTCATTTGGTTTGAGTTCCACATATCAAGATTTGGTTAGAAAGCTTACCTGGAGCAGTCAATGGCCTGTGGTTTTGTTTGATAAATACCGCCATAGGCATAATGAATATTAAAAGTCCACCAATCAAATAATCTCCATCCAGATGGAAGTCTGTGGCTGACATTGTGCATTTAGTCAAAATATGTAAAAAGGTTCCCAGCAGATACAGAGAAGTAAGAAAATGCCTCATAGTTACCATTTGCCAGTCTGATGTGGCATCTAATGAGATTACATTGTGCTTATAAGAAGCAATGCACTACTTGTATGAG